CAGGCTTTTAGGAACAGGCAAATAATTGCAAGCAGGTCCAGAAGATATGCAGTAGCTGAATAACTTCTTTACAACTAAACTACCATTTGTTTCAATAACGGACATGTATTCAGGCTTTTAGGAACAGGCAAATAATTGCAAGCAGGTCCAGAAGATATGCAGTAGCTGAATAACTTCTTTACAATTTACTAAACTACAATTTTGCTAAAATTTCTTTCAATTACGGACATGTTTTCATGCTTATGGGGAACGGGCAAATAATTGCAAGAAGGTTCAGAAAAGGTGCTGAAGAACGAACCCATTGATAAATAAGAAAGAAAGAAAATTGCAGTTTGTAACGTTACTGTATTTAAACATAGAATACAAAATAAAAAAAGCACACAATGTATTGTCTGGCCTGTTTTGCTGTCTCTCATCAGATGCAGGCTACAGTAACAAATGAATAAATGAAGAAAATAAATCAAGTCCTTTACACTTGAAATATACAATAAACTATTCTCAAAGTTACAGTATTTGAAATAAATGAGCTAGATCTGTGAAACGGATATGCACGCTAAACACAAGTTCTGGGACAAGACCAGAGTCCTGAAATGGACCAACAACCAAAACTTTCGCTTGGAGTTTACAGTCGGTGAATGCAATGTGAAGAGGAAGAGGAAGAAGAAGAAGGTTACAGTAGAGCAAAGCCTGGTATGCATGCTTACATATCCGGTAGTTATGTGTTCATATTCCCAACAATACAGTTTTTTTTTTTAAATACACTAAAGCTCCCAGATCGACATAGCCTGAAACGTTCTGGAAGTAAAGGCACCCAGAGTAATATTGCAATTTCACTCATGGAGTAGCCTTTGATCTATGAAATATCGCGCTAGTATCAAATGCACAATACTCGAAAACAGGGCATTCACTTACGTTTTTTGCAACAACAAAAAAAAAAAACGCTTCGACAGCGAATGTATTGCAGAAATAAAAGTGAGGTTGGGGGAGGGTGTCTAGAAGCTCAACCACTTCAAGCCTTCAGCCCCTAGAAAAATCTGAGAGAGTGGGGGGGGGGGGGGTGGGAGAGATGTGCAGTGACTGCGGCACAAAAGAAATTTGCGAAGAGGCTAAGTGGTTTCGTAGCCGTGTAGATAAGATTCCTGGTGCAGTTATCTGCCAGTCAGCATATTATTATTTATCATTAGCACGCACTTTTCCTTCGAAGTCGGAGTACATCTGCCCGAGACATGCACGCCATCATAAAGAAAACATTTGGGATTGGGAGGTGCGCAATAATAATAATAATTTAATGGTTATCTTTTTCTTCTTCATTTTCCCAGCTGTAAACTCTAGTGAAAAGTTCTGGTTCTTCAGTCTTGTTCCAAAACCTGAGTGATGTGTGCATATCTGTTCAACAGATCTGGCTTACTTGCATGCATACTCTTGGTTCCATGTCGCTCATTCAGATGCACTCCGACTTTAAAGACTGCCTCTGAATAATCAACTCCTACAATCTTATTGGGGAGGCAGTGGGTCTGTTTTTGTGTTTCTCATAACTGGGACCATTTAACGTACTCCATAGAGTTATTACAATGTAATCAAGGGCTAATAAATATACTGTAGTACTAAATTTAAAATAATATTTTAAAATGTGACTTTAATTATAAGCATGAGAGAAAGTTAAGGTCGTTGTGATGTGTAGGAGTTGTAATGTGTATAAGGAGTTACTCTGTACCTCACCTCGGGCGTCGCCAGCCAGCTCTAGGCTGGTTTTACAGATCCTCATGCAAGACTTCTGCTACTTGTGCCCATCATGCGCCACAGATAACAGCTCAATTTTGTGACCTGAACTGAGCTGGCAGGTGATCTTTTAGAACCCACCCCCAATGCATGGGTAAAAATGTCTGCCAAAACTCGTTTGGAACATGGGTAAAGTCTGAGAGTCATCATACAACTAAATGGCAACCCTTGGTTAAAATGTCTGTTGAGTGGATGAACTACTCAGCTTCAGCCCTTTAACAAGACTTATCTTCTTCTTCTTCTTTGCATTCACCAGCTGTAAACTCTGGTGGAAAGTTCTGGTTGTTCGTCCACTTCTGGACTGTAGCCCTGTTCCAGAACCTGAGTGTTGCGTGTGTATCCGTTTAACAGATATGACATATTTGTGTGCAGACTGTTGGTTCCTTGCCTCTCGGGCATATACACTCTGACTTTGAAGGAAGCTCCCAATTAGTCGACTCTTACAACATGCTTTTGGGTAGGCAGTGGGTCTATTCTTGTTTTCCCTATAATAGGGCCCCGGAAACCACACAGGGAAAAAGACTTATGTTCGCAGCATCTTTTGCGGGCGTTAATTCGCGGAACAGTCTTCTCCGTAATCCTTTGTTATCCCTCAATATTGTGGCCACTGCTCTGAGGTACACCATGACAACCTGCCACTGTCAGTCAGCTGATTTGGCTGGCAAAAATGTCCGTTAGACACATGTCCTAGTGCACAACAACAAGTCTCGAATGCCTGACCACAAGTGGCAAAAAGGTTCAAATGTCTGTTACCATACCAGAGAGTCAGGACCTAACGTAATGAAGAGCAATAGTGAGAGGATACATCCCAATTCATTCATTCATTCATTCAGTAGCATGTCCCTCGCGGAACCTCGCTGCCATAACAACCCTCCGGAAAACCTTCCTATCATGAGCAAGATGTCCTGCGTCTGATACACCCATCTGGAGATCATCTGCCACATCCTGCACCCATCTTCTCCTTGGCCTTCCTCTTCCTCTCTTCCCAGGCATATACCCCCTCCATTATTGTTTCTCTCTAGACCTATGACGTTTCAAGTGAATTGTCTTTACTAGCCAACCCTCTCAATATTCAGCTCTTGAAGTATGGATGCATTTGTTCTTTTCTTTACCCAAGATATTCTTAGAACCTGTCTGTAACATTTATATTCAAATGCATTTATGCGCTGTTCCGCTTGTTTAGTAAGTGTCCAGGTCTCACAGGCGTATGTTGCAATGGGAAAGATGCATGCTCTTAAAAAATCTGACCTTTGTAATTCTATCTGTACAATTCCATAATTTATTCAGTTGTTTTAGTCTTTGAAGAGCAATTGATAGTCGCCGTTTAATTTCTTTCATTGTGTCACCATTGTTGGTAACCAGTGACCCAAGATATTCGAAATTTTCCACCACTTCCAATCTTTCCTCATTAACATATATTTCCTTCTCCATGGCCATTATCCTGTGTTAAGAAATAAGTTATGATTTTCACTATTTCTTTGGAGTGAGACATCCCAATTAACTGCTGTAATTTTAACTCTTTAAAAACAAAAAATAGTTACTTCATGGACACCTTTTGTCTGCCAAGAGCCATTTAGATGTTTATAATCATCGACTATCCACCATATCCTCCAGCACAGGAAAAGCAGAATTTGTCAGCTAGCTTACCTTTACTTTACAGATACCACTCAATGAAGCTCCATCCTGCAGGACTCAATGAGACTACCTTTGTGACATCTGGACCATTGGCTTAATTAATTTTCTATTTGTCTCTAGAAAAGATCATTTCCTGCAGAGATTTATCTCAATTATAGAACCAAGCAATTTAAGATGCATTTATTGTTAAGTTCAAATACAGGGTTATTCAAAATGATAGATGAACTTTCATTCATATATATTTCCTTGACTATACATTAGACATTAACAGAGAGGGGAGAGAGAGAGAGAGAGAGAGAGGTCTAAAGTTTACAAACTTATAGTACGAGGTATAGAATCTCAATATGGCCACTGTCTTCAGCTCGGTAAACATCTAAGCGGTAGCCGAACTTAAAATAATATGCACAAATGAAGCGTCTTTGATGGCAAGAGCATGCACCCTCAAGTGTTTGTTTGCGAAACTGTGCTCTAGCAGTAGCATTAAAAACTGTAGACTGTATGTACATTATTAATATGTAATGTATACTGAAGGAAATAAACATGAATGAAAGTGTATTCATCCTTTTGAATTACTCTGTATATTGAGCTTTGTTTACTTCAGTGAAACTACTGGACATAAATTTGCCTAGAGAAACCACACAACAACCAGGGGCTGCTGGGGTTGGTTCTGCACGTTCTGTAAAGCTATAATATAAACTCACTCTACCCTAGATGTTGCTTCAACTCTTTCTGTCCAATACTTATTTTCTGAACTCCCTTACACCCAACATTTATGAGTCTTTAGTAACAACTATTTCACACAGAGCAAACTAAGGGAACAACTGCCTAAAACTAATAGAGATATCCAAAATGTAAATATATACATTCCCAGCTAGTTACAGGTTGGTAAGCAGCGTCCATGGCTTAGGCGTTGTGAGTCCGACTCGTAATTCCAACGTACCGTGATCAAAACCCACTACTGGATGCGTAGATTTTTAATCATATGGGACATCGCAGGTCAACCCAGCCTAAAATGGGTACCAGGATGGCTGTCCTGGGGAAGCAAAGACGGCCAGTGTAATGCTGTCCACATTACCCACCGAGTGCTGATGGTCTGTAAAAAAATATGGCCGCTCTTCCCATATACCTGATACACCTAAAGGCATGATAAGGGATCTTTACTTACTTTTTACCTGACAGGTTGGTATGTTCAACTCAATTTAAAGTTCTGTGCCCAAGTATTCTCTCTGCATTGCTCTACATTTGATGTCTCCACAATTGCCCCCCCCCCCCCCCCCCCAACCCGATGCCATGGTTCTCCATTCTCATAGAGATAGTGTTTTCACCTCCACACTACATGTCAACATTTAGACAAGGTTCCATATTAAATCACACTTGTGCTTTCATTGCAACGGATCGCTGAGCATGGCTGGGACTCTTCTCCTAAGGTTTGGAGGTAATCCTGAACAGGATTGCCTGTTAGGATATTTATGATAATGTGAGGTAAGACAAGAAATAGTTGACTGGACGTAATAAGTTTTATTAAAACAAAAATAAAGAACTGAAATAAATAAAAATAATAAGATGAAAAAGACATGTATCAAAAATCAAGAACCATGTTTATTAGGATTACAAAGAAAAAAGGAATTCCACTGTCCTGCATATATTTCAACACAGAGACCCCTGAACGAGACAACTTCAGTAAATGTGTCTCTGTTCTCCGTGTCCCCTAGACCCAACTGACCGTATGTATTCCAGCCACAAGAAAACACTCTTCCAGTATCTGTCAATTAGAAATATCAAACTATTTAAAAAAAAATATCATCACTACACAACATTTATAGCATGTGTACACCTTTTATTAATGTGGAAAGCAAGGGGAAACACCACATAATCATATAAAAATAACATGTATTTCTTGGGCTGGTAATCTGATAGTTTTCCCCTTAATTTCCACATCCACATAGCTTTAGACAATGTCACTAAGCCTTTAGCAACTTTTTCTTCTGTTTTATTATATATATATATATATATATATATATATATATATATATATATATATATATATATATATATATATATATATATATATATATATATATTATATTATATATATATATATATATATATATAATATATTGTTTTTATAATTTTTCTCAGTCCACCATTCATTGCCTCTTCTACCGTCCCTCTATTCTCACCAGAGGACACACACAAACCATTTATTTGTCTCTTTCTTTAAGTTGGATATTATGTTAAATATATTTTTTATTCAGACAATTATTGTTATATATTTACAATATTTATTATATTTCACCTTTTTTCCCTAGGTCAGTTACTGTGTTAAACAGTTATTGTGTGGGTTCTATGGCCCTATTGTGGGGGAAACAAAAATAGATCCACTGCCTCCCCACCAAGCATGTCATAGGAGTCGACTAATTGGGGACCTCCTTCAAAGTTGCAATGCATCTGCCCGAGCAGCAAAGAACAACCCTCTGCACAGAAATACGCCAATAAAATGGATGTACATGCAAAACGCAGGCCTTGGCACAAAGCCAAAGACCAAATGGACGAATAACCAGTACTTATTGCCGGTGAAAAAAGAAGAAGAGCTGTCTTAACTGTATTGTGGTCCCCTAGGAAAACTGGTGTGCTGGGGCCTCTACGACAACTACTCAGAGGAACAAAATGAAAACTGTCAACAATATTAAACACGTACACATATTGGCATGGGACCCCTATGCTCATTGGGCCCCCTGGCAAGTGCTCAGTCGGCTCATGTGTCAAGATGGCCCTGAAACAGAGCATGCCCAACTACAACATTTTTCCAGATAGAGAGCTTTGGGGGAGGGGTACAGACAAACAAAGAGTGACAGAGAAAGAGAGGGAATAGAAAAGTTAAAGAAACAAATTAAGAAAAAGGAAAAGATGGAAATGGGAAAAGACAGAATGAAAGAGAGAGAGAGAGAGAGAGAGAGAGAGAGAGAGAGAGAGAGAGAGAGAGAGAGAGAGAGAGAGAGAGAGAGAGAGAGAGAGAGAGAGAGACAAAAAAAGACAATGAGAGAGCTGGAGAATGAGAATTGTACGTACCACTAAGAATGACACTGTGCCTTGACCCACAAGCAACAGCAGCAACGTTCAGCTCATCTGGTAATGATGTGATACACAAAGGCTCAGTCTGGATTCCCACACGATCTTCATCATCTTCAGCTGACAGGGAACTGCTCACAGCTTTCGACAGGGCTGGCACACCCAGCTGACCACTTTCATTCCAGCCCCACATGTAGACATCACCACAGTCTGTGATAACATTGACCAGAGTTATTAGTGGTGTAACTAATGTTGTAGAAACAGCCTTGCTTTATGCACACAGTATTTTAAACTAAATTATTTAAAAAAAATTGTATTATTTGACTATTATAATGTGTGAAATGTACAGTTTTTTTGTAGCACTCACTAGCTGTAAACTGGTAGAAAGTTCTAGTTATTTGTTCACTTCTGGAATGTGGTCTTGTTCTAGAACTTGAGTTTTGCATGCTCATACTTTTTAGGATAGATTTAGCTTATTTGTATGTAGACTGTTGAATCCTAGCCTCTCAGACTTTGAATATCACTAATCAATCGCCTTTTACAAAACAGCTGATAGGAGGCAGCAGATCTATTCTTTTCCCCCAAAAATCAGAACCCATACACACAAATATATATATATATATATAGCTAAAATGATCCCATTAAAATAAAAGCTTAACTTATTTTAGTTTGATGTTTCTCCTAGTTCTCTTCTTTCTTATGCCTTTTATTCACCATTGGAGCAAAGGTACCCCAGCAAATTTGCAACTTATTGGTTGTTCTTTTTTTTTTTTTTTTGCAATCCTATGCAGGTTTTGTCACACACTTCCCATATTATGCATGTTTGTGTGTGTTTGCACATGCATGTGTGAATGTGTTTTGTAAAATTTTTTTTTTTTAAATCTTTTTTTCTTCGACCTCTTAAATGTTGGTGCATTCTAGTTATACTTTTAAAATGTTCTCTCACTGCTTTTCCTAATCAGTGCCACTATCTTTTCTTCAGCTTTTGTTTCTCTGCCATTTAGTTCTCTCCCAGAACTTGTAAAACATGATTCATCTTTCTAGTATTACATATAGGGAGAAGTTAGATCCATAAGAATATTGCTATTGAAGTGTAAAGTGTTGGACTTTGACATCTACTAGGCCATGACATGTGCAGTAGGGTGGCCTTCTTCTTCTTCTGTGTTTGTTCTTAAAAGGGTGGCTGTGTTATGGTTTACAGCAAGGCTATGATATTTGTACCTCTTGACACAATACATCTGATTTTAGTTAATGCTCAATTAGTTGCTTTTTACTACATGCTTGTTAAGGAGCAGTGGGATCAAATAAAGGGATCTGAAACCCACACAGTGTACATATAAGCGGGGTGGCCAATACCCTTCCTTATCTATATTCTTCCCTAGAAAATTTCCAAAACATTTAAAATTGCCTGGCACCCATTATTCTAAGACTGGATCGGCCCAGAACATTACCTTGGCTGGCAAGTACTGTATTCCAGGTATTGGACATAAAACAACACTTCTTTGTTAACTATTACAGTCACCATAAATGCCCCATATGTTATTACCAAATGTCTACGTGTATTGTCAGCGTCTGTGGCTTAGGCACTGCGAACGTGCTTCGTAATGCAGGGTTTGATCCCAGCTGAGGGCATAAAATTTGCCTAGAAAAACCACAACAGCCAACAAAATGCTGGGGTTGGTTCTGCAACATCCTGTAAAGGATACACAACTTACTTTAACTATGTGTATCAAGTGACAAGCAATACATCACATGTTATTATTTGCTTCACATTTAATCTGAGCACGTTAAATAAATCTGGCTAGATATTTTAACATATAGCACAGTATATATAAAAGTAGTATACATATGCCCTTTACACTAGTTATTGCACTTGTTATTTTATCTTAGTTATATTTGCGTTTATTCATTATCTATATTTGTTTTAGAAGTGGTCGACATTGATATGTATACCTGAAACAGAAGCTGAATGCCAACCTCCAGCACAAATGCTTCTCATTCGGAGTCCTTCTAATGAGGCTAACAACCTTGGAGATATCTCTGGCTCAACACTGTAATGACCAAGCTGTCCGCGGCTGAGAGATTGAAAAACAATATTTATTTATATATAAACTGAAGAAAGAGAGTACTGATATTATATGTCAAATCTGTTGTGGTGTATTGAAGTAAATTTCAGACTGTAACTAGATTGCAGGCAGCAGAGAGGTTGATTTTGAGAAGAATGTGGCAAATACATTGGACTGCATGAATAAATGACTGCTTGGAAAAAAGATAAGGAAAGCCCAACATTATATGGAACAATTACAAAGAGACAGTGTTCTCTGGTCCTGTGATGAGAAGCATCGGAGAACGTAATGACAGAGGCAGAGAATGGAAGATTATCATCCACAGATAGGAGGAAGTGACAGGGCTGCCTATGCCACCTGGCAGGGCACAATATGATGATGTTGATGATAAACTTAGACACAATGAAAGCAGATCTAGAGGTCATCCACACACGTGATGGATAGGTGGAATATCTGAGGTCATGAATGTCAGCATCAATGTAGCACACATACCAAGGTTGGCCTTTTCAAAATCTGATACTGAGAGGCAAAACAGGACTAGAGAGACAAGATGATATATTAATGTAAGAAGCATATATTTAAAAAAAAACACACACAGAGAAGCTTTGAAGAATTACTTGTCTGTGGGGGCTTTTTTTTTCTTCTGACAGTATGCAAAGGTACACAGTACCATCACCTTTTTTTTTGGTGCAACATTTTGTCAGCACAACTGTAACAGACATTGTATGGTGAGTACCGGCACTTTTTTCCAGGGAAATAAAAGTCCTGCTTGTGTGATTTTTTTTTTTAAGTGCAACAAATACGTATGTTAGGTCAGATCTATGAAGTGATCTAGTCGGCCATCATCCATGCAGTGTTTTCTGACCAAAAATCTGATTGCTAATGTGATAACATAGTGAAAGAGATCAAAGTAACCCCACCACACACATAAAAAGTTCCTATTCAAGTCTTACTTACTATATACTTGTCCAGGGCAATTCAACTGCCGGCCCAAGGATCAATGCCAGTTGTATTGTATTAACGATCTTTCTATGCCTGGGTTTAGTCTTCTGGCCCATGACGATCCCCATTTTTAAAATTTTGACCCCTGAGTAAATTTAGTTGAACAGCCCTGTGCTAGTTCATAGTCACAAGGTGGAAATGACACCGCACACCATTAGGACAGAGAGCACACCCGTGTATCCACAGAAAATTGTCATGATGCAGTCTAACCTATTTTCATGGTGTCACTACTAACAGCTACACCTAGGGAGGAGTGTTGCCAGGCACTAAGCCTCAAAAGGGTCCACCCAAGCAACAAACGCATGCTCCAGCCTGATTGTCATATAATTGTTCCATATAGTCATCACAGTAATTTAAAAAACTCATAAAAGATAGGCATTTAAAAAAATCATAAAAACTTATAGTGATGGCTGCTCTACCTCTTCTTCTTATTTTCATTTGCTTGCACTGATTCTATTCTACATTTTTCTTTCCTGATGAAGTGCAACATTTTTTGCAGGTTTCTGTATAGTTTGTCACCAAGAGTTGTGTCAACATGCCAGAGTGCTATGAAGCTGAGTCTATTGATACATATTTTTTTTTGTAAAAAGCTGCCGCATCAACAATGATTAATATGAAACAAACATTTTTTCTTGCAGCGAAATAACATATGTATTTTCTTATGTGAATTAAGCACCTTCCAAGTCCATAACTGAACACTGTTCCTACATGAGCCAGGATTAGTACATGCTCCTTCCCACAGCTAATTTCTGTGACCTCTACACCTGAATCAATGGAGTGTAGGTCAAAGTGGGTCTCTTCCGTGTTCTCTTTGGTATTTCCGTCATCATTCTTAGTAAACTCATCCTCTGAAACATGTAACTTTCCTACTGTTACAGAATCTGCAATGAAATATGAAAAAAGGTAAACATTTTAATAAATCATTCATCATGTAAAGATATTATGTTTAAGAGGCAACATTCATCTATGAAGTATGTGAAGAATGTTTGCTTGGATATTATTCATGTGTACTTTTCAACACATTATGTGTGTTTTTACATCTTATATATGGTCACAGACTCTAAAGAATTCTGGCAACATATTTTTTTTAAATACTTCTTATTCTGCATTCACTGACGTTAAACTTTGGCAGAAAATTCTCGTTATTCACCCATGACTAGACTTTATTCTTTTTTCACACAAATTCATTTTACAGATCTAGCTAATCTTTATGCAGAAGGCTGGTTATTTCAAAGGAAATATCTATCCTGTCAATATTGGCCATGCTTCCGAGTAGGGAACTAAAGATGACCATGGAAGGCTGTAGAAGGTTGTCGTGAAATGATAGCCATTACGCATCGGTCTGTAAGGCTGATAACCTGTCTTACCTGTAATCTGCACAAAATTCAAACTTGGACTCGCCCAGAAATATATAGTCCCTTATATCTATATATATAGGCCTGTATTGGACAACATTATTATGTCTGCCTTTTCTGGTTACTTTAACTAAACTCCACTTTTAAATGTATATCTCTTGGGGATATATTTAGGGAGTTAATTGAGGTTTCTTGGAAACCGATTTACTCCTTGCCCCAGTATACAAGGAACTTCTTTTGTACCAACGCCTGAAATGTCTAACTGACGCCATTCTCCTTGCCAGCTTCTCAAGCCTCCAGATGTGTTAATCTGTGCCTGTATACTGTCAATTTTCAAGGCAATCTGGAAATGTCTCAGTTTTTACATATGCTTGGGTAAGTGAATTATAGTTTACGAGTACCTAGAATGTTGTCTGTAAAGTAGTCACTGCTGTAGAGAAATCCATATCGGCTGTGTGATCTCACTTAGTTCTACCATTCTTGATCGCTAGAGTAGCGGATTCGAACGTAGATCTTCCACTGTACAGACTAAATAGCTTATGCCCTCAATAAACCACCCATACTGATAAACATTTAATGCCCTTACAATTGTGTACGTTTTAAACTACTTACAGAATCTGTACATACGAGATGGGGACAGAATTGGGTCAGGGCTGTGTTAATCAAAGTATGTGTGTGCTTGACCCAGATCAATGAGTGCTGGGGCGGTTGGGAAAAACTAGTGAATGCAGGTACTGACAGTAAATATTGGTGTTTGTGTGCAGAGTGAGGGGATAGGGGGAGATGATATATGTGTTAGACCACTTTATCTATCTCCACTGCATATCTGACTTGCCTTCTCTTGCACTAAACAGACAGATAAATATAGGAGACTTATGTCTTTTGGTCTGGAGAGGCAATCTGAGGAATGAAACAGGACAGCAGGGAGGAGTCAGCAGATGGGGGTTGATGACTATGCTTGCTCTGTCTTTCCTGTCAAGATGTTACCCTCTTGATGATGACTAATGTTGAGTTATTTTCTTGACAGGATGTATATTTTCTGAAGAGCTGGCAGAAGATTCACAGTCTCAACAACATCCACCCACCAATCCAACCACCAGAACCAACTTGTTACCCACCAGCTAACACCTGTGAAGGTTCCTGACATCTCCAAAAATGGGGGAGATTGTGCCTCAAACAGCTACCAGTGCCAGAGTAATGTGGCTCTAAGACATTGTGTGTCCTTACTGGTGATATAGACATGCTAGATACCAGTACAGTTGCTGTACAGTGAAGTACTCTTGCTACTTGATCCAGTGGAGCAGAATTCCCAGAGTCAAAGACAGTCAAATCATCCGGAGCTGAGGGAGGCATCATAGACAGAGATAAGAGAAGATAAGTCTAATGCTTCGCATGATGTTGTGTTCCTCACAGCTTCCTGTGTCCAGTGATGAAAAGATGTCATCTCCTAGGCCTTCTGTCTGTGTAGATCCTAGTGATTTGGACATGATATCCTGAGATCTGGCAATTGTCTCACTTTTATATATCTAATTTATATTGAATATATACATTCATTTTCATGGCTGACTTAGGTGTCTCTATTTCACCGTTTTTAAGTGTTTCGCAGTTGTGTATGTATGTGTATCTTCTTTATATGTGTTAACATGGTTATGATAATGAACTATCATAACCTGGGGGCTTTCTTTAGTAAGTAGTGGGGGTGTCCAGCCAAGTGTGCCTAGAAATAATATATATATATATATATATATATTGACATATTTTGTAGTGCCAATACTTGAGTTGCCCTACTCCAGAGATAAGTTGATCGTATATTGGCCACGGGGAATCCCTTAGACCAATACGAGCCAAACGACTCAACAAAATTATCTCTGAGTGCTGCTGGTTCTGAAGGAGAAATCCTTACATTAGGCACGCGACAGGAGTGATATGTGACAAAGGTCTTGACTAGTTGGAATTTTGGTCATGGCACATCACCACAAGTGTTGGTGTGCCTCTGCATCCCTGATTTCATATGAGGTGTGTATATATATGATGCATGCAGAGCAAGTTAACTCAAGTTTCCCTCACCTGGATCAACACACTGGAACAAAGGGTAATGAGTGAGAGGACCAACTGGCAAGCAATGCACCAACACATATGGAAAGAAGCATGGACACAGCAGATATCATGAATGCTGTACAGACTGAGCTAGTGGATAATGACTGTGTGATATGAGAGTAGGGCACAGTGAAGCACATCCATGCTGCCTTTGAGGCTGAGATAGGAGACATTATAACCATGTCCATGCTGCCTTTGAGGCTGAGATAGGAGACATTATAACCAACCCTTCATGGGAACAATGAGTAGAGTACTTTGGAGTGGCTGCTGCATCAAAGGACTGAGCACCCATGGGAATGCCCAATGTGCAGTGACATCGACTGTCAAAGTAAAACATTTAAATCAGGTGACACATCCTGTGACCCAGTGACCTCTATTACTAAGACTCCTGAGAAAAAAAAGTTTTTTGATTCAAAGGAAAACCCCACTAAATTCTATTTTTAGTTAACATATTCATATCCTGACCTAAACATTTGGGCAGGCACAAAAACAGCCAAAAGCATTAACTATGGATCCCATAAACAGGTCACTATAGACATAAGTTGGAAAAGTTACATTTATGGGAAACAGCCCATTTAAAAGCTTTCATTGTGCGGCTTTTTGGGGCTAAAGGGTTAAAAAGTATGGGGACTGCAGGTCTCAGGTAACTGGGAATCCCTGATCTAAAGAGTCAACAACAGTATCAGAGATAAAACATACAAACCATACACAGCAAAAACATGATGATGTCCTCCACAAACTAAGGACACTCTGGCAGCTGTGCTAGGAAGAAGAACTGCTATAGATTGAGATGCTGTACTCTTCTCATGGATGATCTTGTCTGGTATTGTGTCTTCAGAACCTCCCAAAAGGATATCTGTATCAGTTGATGCCATCACAACTTGGCCATCCAAGATGGATGCTTCTCCACAACTGCCTGCTTCCTGTGCTGTCATGTTCATGAATCCAGTTATGACTGAAGTGTAACTGTTTGTATCTGTGTGGGTCATGATATGGTAAGATAGATAAATGATGGTGCTGTTTGTATCTATGTGAGTCATGATATGGTAAGATAGATAAATGATGGTGGTGTTTGTATCTGTGTGAGTCATGATATGGTAAGATAGATAAATGATGGTGGTGTTTGTATCTATGTGAGTCATGATATGGTAAGATAGATAAATGATGGTGCTGTTTGTATCTGTGTGGGTCATGATATGGTAAGATAGATAAATGATGGTGGTGTTTGTATCTGTGTGAGTCATGATATGGTAAGATAGATAAATGATGGTGGTGTTTGTATCTGTGTGAGTCATGATATGGTAAGATAGATTAATGATGGTGATTTGTGTGCTTCACAAGATAGCAGTTAGGGTTCTTCTTCACATTCACTGGCTGTAAACTCCTGTGGAAAGTTATGGTTGTTTATTTACTTCTGGACTTTAGTCTTGTTCCAGAACCTGAGTTTTGCATGCAGATCCATTTTACAGAAGCTTATTTATATGCAGACTGTTGGTTCCAGACTTTAACAGAAACATCCCCAGTTAGTCAACTCTTTTACAACATGCAGTGAGTCTATTATCCCCCCCCCCCCCCCCCCCACCAACCCCTCACAGTTAGGGTTCAATAATCAGTGGTAACACTTTTAAATTTTGTGAGTAGTTCTGAGGTTTTTTTTTTAAAAAAATGGAAACTAGTAACAAACTTTTATTATTTAACTCTAACGTCAAATCAGACTGGCAAAAAAAGGCAAAACTAAAAAACACTACAAACTTTCATTAACTGGTGCATGCACATTATAAAATAAATGAAACGGTATGACAAAATCACTTATGTGAAGCTTTGAGAATCAAAAGGTGAGGAAAAGCTGCCAGCCCTAAATGGGACACATATAGAGAAAACCTGATAATAGTATATCTAGAATGGGATCCAGAAGACAAAGGATATACAGGGAGACAAGACAAGAAAAACATTACACTGAGAATAGAAATGAAAAATGCACAGAGGAAGTGGGAGGAATTGCAAGGGGTGGCAAAAGACAGTACAGTCTTGCATGAGTTGGTCAAGAGTTATACACCAATAGATCTTCTTTTTCTTCATTTTCATTCATCGGCTGTAAGCTCTGATAGAAAGTCCTAGATAGTTCATCCATTTGGACCTTGGCTTTGTGCCAGGGCCTGAGTTTTGTGTGTACATCCATTTTACTGATGGCTTATTTGTGTGCAGTTGGTCGTTCCTTGCTGCTTGAGCAGACGCACTCTGATTTCGAAGGAAGCCACCAATTAGTCAACATCTATGACATGCCTGTTTGGGTGGCAGTCGGTCTATTCTTGTTTTCCCAACAATAGGTTATTTGTCCACTTCTGGACCTTGGTCTTGTTCCAGAACTTGAGTCTTGCATGCACATCCGTTTCACAGATCTAGCTTGTTTATTGATTCCTCATTTCTCAGGCAGATGCACTCCAACTTCAAAAGAAGTCAGCCTAACTGATGACCTTTTAGAGCATGCTGGTTTTAGCAGGGTGGGGTGGAGGGGAGAGGAAAATAAGGGGGGGGGGGGGGGGGGGGGCGTTAATGAGGGCTAAATATTATTTTTCCAAAACTGAGCTCTGGAACCTACACAGAAATTGGTCATTTTTTACAATATGTTTGTTAGGAGGCCAGTGGATTTTTTACCCTTCCCTTCCCCCCCCCCCCCCCCCCCCCCCCCCTTTTTTCAATGGGTTTCCGGAACCCATATTGGAAAATTTTACACATCCAAAAACCTATAAAACTGTACACTATACCTCTTTTCAGTGTAGCAGCCAGTCTTGCCCAGGTAATCAGCAATTTGTGTAAACTGTAACCTTCGTTCAACTGAAAAAGTTGTTCAGGTAAGGCTATTTTGGTCCTCTTGTCTGGTTTGATTCTCGTACATTTGTCAGAAGTACATAGACCCAATTCATTAAATTTCAGACACTTGAATCCATCAAGCTGTGAGAAGCCATTGTGGCCACAACCATACAAAGTTAACGCCATTTTCTGTGGGTGCTGAACATATGAAAGTACAGGTAATGGGTTGAATCTTCAATATAAAAGTTTAACAAAAGAATAAGCAAACACTAAAAAAAAAATTCAGCTATTGGCACTATTCGCTGGCTGTTGAAGATGAGGATATAAAGTTTATGGGATTATTCTGAGTGCTGTGATGCTGGTTCTCGACTCAATTGATAAATATCCAGTCTGGTCAAGGAGGGATATTTAAGGGAAGATTTACATGGTTAGGTGTATTTTGATTATGAAAAACTGTGATAACATGTGTAGTTTCAGTTTTCCGAATCTCTCCACAGGGTACAGCACAAAGCATAAAACTAGTGACAACCTCCAGGCATCTCTGAAACATCTGCCAACTGAAGGATGGATGGCATCTAAATTGATTATAATATCTTCAAGAAGCAGCAGCTGAAATACATTGCCACAAGACCCTGCCTTCCTTCTTTCTTTGTTCATGTTTTAACAGATAGCCATTGTTGCTTTACTTTTCTTCTTTCTATCCTCTGACAATTTGCCATTTTGTAAACTTGGTTGTACACTCCCATTTTAATTGAAACTCACTGCATAAAAAGTCTGTTCCTTTATAACTGTGTTGTCACTTTTTGTGTCTTATCTTGGTTTTGATTTTACATAGTGTTTCCGGCACTCTTCAAAATACCGGTCCCAAATTATTCACTGTTAAAAGAGTCCAATTCAAGGCCTCAAAAGGTCATATCGTTAAAAATAATATAAACCGATTTCGGGTAGTGTTGTTATAAGTATTCCGCCTGTCAACCGGGTGACCAGTGTTTTGAATCCCCACTGGGTGATAACTTATTTTTAGCCTTTGAAAGGGCAGTTGGGACGTTGGGTTGTGGTTTAGGCTGCAATATTTGCGCCTTTCGCTCAGTATTGTTGTTTACAGCTAGCCTGCTATAGCGACGGCAAGAGATGGTCATGTCATGAGTAGGTAATCTTCTGTCTTTTCGTTGGCACGTTGTAGTGTTGTTTACAGCTAGGTTGCGATATCTACGCCTTACACATCCAAATTCAGCAAAGTCCCAATTAGTCGCCTTTTAGGTGGCCATGTAGCTATTCTTTTTTTTCCCCCTCAAACATGTGGCCTTGACCCACAAGGCGAGTCACGGGTTATGTGAACAATGAATCAAAAACTATTTCACCCCACAACGCTTCAATGGTTTGAAAACTATTCCTCCCCAAGGTGCTTAGCTTAACATCTAAACATTGCTATCCATCGAGCAATAACGGCATAAATGGAAACTGATGATGATGGCCTAAATGTTTTTACTACATAACATCTTGAGGCTCTCAAAGGGATGTTTTTCGCAGTAACTAATTTTGGACCGGTATTCAGAAGAGTGCCCTGTTTCCATCTGTGTTAGGTGTCATGTGCAAAAATACATATGAATTACATTTTAATGATGATATTGATATAAATTATCTCTCCTCCTGTGTAGTAAAACATACACATTCTCTACCTCTCTGAGTGCTGCCGTTTGTGTGCCATGTGCGATACATATAAGTTAATAAACATGATTATAAACAGCAGACATTAGTTGGGTTATCTACATCTTTACGCAACTTAGGAACACACAAACATAAATGATGATACAAATGATCTCACTGCATCTAGTCATGTGCATTACTACAGAGTTATGTCAACATATAATGAAACACAAAAGTGAATCATTTTTTGCTGAAATGAACTAATAATATATATATTATTTTTTGCACTGCAGAGAAAAGGATTAATTGTTCTTTATTGTATGTTGAATTAACTCTGTAGGAATGGACCTGACTATACACAATAAATCAGTAAAATATGGCGGGCAATAAATTGTGCAATGTATTTATTGTTTGATATCAAAGACATGTTATGGTTAGTTGCGTATCCTTTACAGGACGTTGCAGAACCAACCCCAGCAGCCCCTGGCTGTTGTGTGGTTTCTGTAGGCAAATTAGCGTCCAGTAGCTTGCCTTGCTTTCTGCATGGTGGGCCCACTGATACCACTGTACTACAGTGTAGAAAACCAACGCAAGGCGCATGGCCCGCAGCTGGGAATCGAACCCGGCAACCCCGGCATTACGAAGCGTTCGCATCGACTTAGCCACAGAGCCGACTGCCATGTTATGAAAAAAGGCGAAATGGAACATGTTGTGACCACTGGAAAGATCTGTAGGAGGGATATAGGAAGACAACGAGAGAAGATTCTTGACGGTCTTGTTGCATGGTATGGAGGTGTGTCGGCACCGACAAGAGATCGTAGATTAAGGAGAGGCATGATCGTCCCACGCCAGTCGGAAAGGCACCTGATGAAGATTGTTTGCGTCCGAATCGTATAAATTTACAACTATGAAAACACTGTTACTGTTTTGAATAAACGATCTCTCCACACAAACTCTGCCACTCTTCCGAGTCTCATGTCAGGACAAGTTTGCAGTTAACAAATAACGTATATTTCCAAGAAATTGTAATCACTTTATAAACCAGAATAACGTCCCTGCAGCCCCCAGACTTGTGACAGTTATGATCCGCTCAAAATTGGTGGCAACCCTGTTCCGGAACTCCGCTACGCAGATGACACAGTCCTCCTTTCGAACAGCGTAAAGGGAATGGAAAATTTTATATTGTCTGTCCAAAAGCACAGTGACGATCATCATCTGTTCTTGAATTTAAAGAAAACGAAAATAATGTCCACAGATAAAATTTGGCTGCCACTCAAAAATAACAATAAATGATGAAGAAATTGAAAATGTCACCAACTTTGAATATCTAGGCTCTTTAATAAACAACAATAGAGACTGTACGACACAAATTAAAAGGAGGATGGCCATAGCAATGCAAAGATTGAACAGCCTTAAAAGTATATTGTTAAGCACCAGCAAGGAGATAAAAATAAGAATTTTGAGAGCATGCATCTTTCCTGTAGCAACATAGGGATGTGAGTCGTGGACTATCTCTCAGTCCTTGAGAAAGAGAATATGGGCTTTTGAGCTGAAATGCTATAGAAAGTTTCTCAGAATATTTTGGACAAAGAAGATGAGAAATATTGACATCTTAAAAGATCTGAACATCAAGGAAGATTGGCTAATAAACAACATCCTGTCTCGAAAGCTGAAATATGTTGGTCATATCAAGCGCCACGACGGACTGTAAAAAAATTATAGCAGAGGGCATGGTACCAGGAAGGAAAGGCAGAGGCCGACCGACACGAAGATGAGCACAGGATATAAGTGACTCCTTGAGTGTGAAAGTTCATGAGGCTGGAGAACTGGCAAGAGACCGAGTTTCTTACAGGCAGACTGTGATGAGAGCGACGTTCTGCAAAGGACCTGCTTCATGATGATGACGAGCCACCTTTAGCACCTTGTAGCGAGAAGAGCTAGCCACCGGTTTGTTGCAACACTGGCCTTCTCTTGCTCTAGCCTGGTGACGTCATAGCAAATTCTAAACACAAAATGGCGGAAGCTACAATGGTAGAACGTCCTCATGATATTTATTTTTGTCACGAGTGTATGAGAGAGGTTCAGCTGAATATCCCGGTAGGATATTATGTTGGTTTCGTGTCTAGATTTTACTTTCTTATTTTTCATGTTTATTTTTGCTTTGTTATGCATGAAACTGCTTATAATTAAGATTAATTCTCCATAAAAGACGACGATCAATCAGTATAGTATAAAATAAATAAATAATATTATATCGTATTTAATTTGGTTGTTGTCATATAATCATTTAAATAAAAAATTCTCAAACACTTGACTTCAGAATAAACACACTTTAGTGTAGTGGCACGCCCGTATAACTATTCTTAATCCGTTCCAGTATTTGGGACGTATACCTCACAGGACGTAAATGCGAAACGAATTTTCTTATACGAAGGAGAATTCAGAATTATTCTGAGAATAATCAATCACATAATCACTCTGTCCCCATGGAGAAAAAAAACGTTTTGTTTGTTATTGGATGATGAATGTATTATATTATAGGGTTGTTAGTTTAGTTGTATAAAATAATTTAGGGGTGCCTAAAATATACAGATACAAATTAGATGAAATAATTAAATAAATGAAAATTTAACCTTATTTTATTCTTGCTGACTACAGTTTTACTATTGTATTGTATTGTTGTCATTTATTATTTATTTTATTATTATTGTTTTGTGTATTTTATATTATTATTTTATTCTATCTCTTATCAGTACCAATTATGGTTCATTAGCATTTGTATTTCTACTACATTTTGATTTCTACTGTTCTTATTGATTATCACTATTACTTTTACGACTTTTTCAAGCCTTCCTTTATTCTGTTTTATTTTATCGGTTCCACGTCACCTTTTTATAGTTTCTTACATAACTCCTCCCCCCCCCCCCCTCCTGGTTGGCGCTGGTGGCTGAAGTACTCTTTTTGTTATTGTTGTGTAGTTAGCTCATTTCGAGAAAGGCCTAGGCTAAAACGTCGATTTGGGTGTTTTGTGCATGTTGTTCTGCTTACCTTTTTTGTTAATCTTTTTTTAGTTGCAATTCACTGGATTAATTGCTTAGTTCTAGGATGGTGCAGAGGAGAAGATTTTTTTTGGACAAAGGGCCCCCTTCCAAGAAATCTGAAATTCTGATGTTGTTTTTTCCCCTTCTCCATTATTCCTTTTCCTACCTTCTTGAGGTGCATTAGGTTTGACTTTTACTTTAAAAAAATATGTCAGGAAAAATTTGCTTCTGAAAAAACAAATATTCATTGATAAAATGTTGAATTAAGAATCATCACATCACTCAGAATACTATCATAAGCATTCTCACCATCTTCAACAAGCAAAGAGTTCAAATTCCCATTGCACCAGTAACTGTCTGATTGTACATTCATCGTGTCTTTCCCCTGAGCATCGGCCAGATCTCCTGATAACTCCCCACAGCGCCATTCTCATCGGACCATAACGATCTATTTGTGCCTCCTCACTGTTCACTTGCTCCCAAATGGCCCTCACAACGTCTAGCTTGTTATACATCAGTTCACTACCAAGTTCTGCAGAACTGGTCAGTCTTTCTGCTACTCATTTCCCAACACACCAGCGTCACCTAGAGAAAATATCTACAGGACACTAACTACCCAGGTCTTCTTAAGTGGTGCTTGCCGCTCAGCACAAAGCATGCTGCCTTTCTTCACCTTTCTCCACAGTTACAGTTATAACGTTTGTACAGATGGTTTGGAAGGCAGCAATGCCTGCTTCTCCATTCTCAGACAAGACATTGTGATATCATATACTAGGCTTTGTTGCACTACACAATGTCTATTCGTTAGTGCTATAAACCCCATGCACTTCATCTACCTTTCAACACAGTCATCTGTATAGATAATCACATCACCTGGGTGGGAATTATTTGTCATGAATCATTTGTTGAACTTCTGATTCTCCAGCACAAGCACTCCCCAGTCCCTGCACTCACAACCCAAAGTGATTAGAACCCTACACAAGTCTGATTCTCCAGCTCAAGCACTCCCCAGTCCCTGCACTCACGACCCAAAGTGATTAGAACCCTACACAAGTCTGATTCTCCAGCACAAGCACTCCCCAGTCCCTGCACTCACGACCCAAAGTGATTAGAACCCTACACAAGTCTGATTCTCCAGCACAAGCACTCCCCAGTCCCTGCACTCACGACCCAAAGTGATTAGAACCTTACACAAGTCTGATTCTCCAGCTCAAGCACTCCCCAGTGCCTGCACTCACGACCCAAAGTGATTAGAACCCTACACAAGTCTGATTCTCCAGCTCAAGCACTCCCCAGTGCCTGCAATCACAACTCAAAGTGATTAGAACCCTACACAAGTCTGATTCTCCAGCTCAAGCACTCCCCAGTCTCTGCACTCACGACTCAAAGTGATTAGAACCCTACACAAGTCTGATTCTTGTTCTGACACTTTGACCCACTCCTTTTATGACCCAGATTTATCAAACCTGCCCTCATGTGTCTTCTGCTTGCACCATCCAAGTCCTTCCTCTTTTCAGTCTATGACCTTTAGCTGTACCTAGGGCTTCATATCGGAGGTGCTTTTTGTCAGCAGCTGCTCTGATACATAAGTTTGCTTGCAGAACTTAGAGCCTATTGGCAGTAGTAGGCAGTGCAGTGCATACTATCGGGTGTCTCTTGTACATGTCACGACTACCCGCATGGCTTCACTCTGTATGTGTTCATGTTTCATCAGCTGACTCTTTGATATGGTAAGTGTTCCAAGTCCATAATCTATCACCGACAGAATCACATGCTGGAATGTTGTGAACAGCATTCTCTGTTCCCTGTCCGTTGCTGCTATAATCTTGAGAGCATTGAGTCCTTTTTGGCATTTCACCGCAACTGCCTCAGCATGATCAGCTCTTACAATTCTATTGTCCATGGAGCACCCACAAAACAGCCACCTTTTCTGAGTTGATCACACCACCCAGTTCTGCACAGCAGTCAGTCACTTTGTCTAGTTGCCTGTCGCTCCTAAGCTGTCTGTTGCCTATCGCTCCCCTCTCTATATGCAAGAACATCAGCTGCAAATGTTGTAATCCTTCCAACACGTGATGCTTCAAGCTCTGCAGTCTTGCTTATATACCTGTTGAAGAGCATTGGAAATTTCAGGACACTGGGGTGGTCCCAGAACGATACTGTTCTGAGGTCCATGTACCCAGATGAAAAGGCAACCGTACAACTGCTGTTTAGTTCACTGGCCGGGGACAGACTCCCTTCTCCATGAGCACAGATATCAAAATACTATATCTGACTCTATTGTAGGCATTCTCAAGATCAAATGCTGCCACTACAGTCTCTTCCCTATTCTGGAACCCCTCATGACATCAAAAGCAAAAGTAGCTGCATTTTACCAGGTATTTTTCCTTGGCTGGTAAATATCCAAACCTTTTGCCGGAAGCTCTTCCTGTTCCAAAAACATTTTTAGTTTAAAAACAATAATCTTCTCTAGCACCTTGCCAAAAGTATTTTGTAGGGTGATTATTCTGAAACCGCTGAGTCTGGAATAATCTTTGCCTTGTTTTGGAAGTGAGATTGGCAAGCTGTGTACCTAATCCTGGGGTACTGAAACTGTTCTGGTGCTCTGGTTGAAGTGAAAAGTCATCTCCTTCTAGTCTTCATCATTTATGATCTTCATATTTTAATACCTGACTCCGTCTGGCCCCGGCGCATTATCTTTTGCAATATATATATTTTATATCCTCCAACCTAACAATATCCTGAAAATAATTATCATTTATAGAATTAGTAAGATTATCTGTAACAGAATTTCTTAGTTCCCTATCATTATCAGCGTAAGCTATAAATCTCTCCAAAAAAGCTTCCCCTTTCTCTTTGTTGTGATTGGCATACCATTATCAGTGTAGTGTATATAATGCCTATCGTGAAGGGACGATCCTTCCTTTGCATGTCTGTGAATGGTAAAAATATGGGGGTGACTGTCTGTGAAGTATATTTATTGATAAAGACTGGTCAACACATTCTTCATATTTGCATTCACTAAATTTAAACTATGGTGGAAAGTTCTGGGTGTTCATCCACCTCTGGACTTTAGTCTTGTTCCAGAAACTCAGTGTTATGTGCACATCCTTTCCACAGATCTAGCTTATTTGTCTGCACACTGTTGGTTCCTTGCCTCTCAGGCAGATGCAGTCCAACTCTTTTCTTGTTTTCCCTTTTTTTTTGGACCCTTGCACCCACACAGGCAAGTAACACATTCATGGTTATCTTTGTCTTATCAGTGCTATGAGTCACTTGACAATGAAGTACCTAAAACATGTAAAAGAGACATTACCCCCCCCCCCCCCCCCCCCCCCCCTCCCCTCCCCACTCACATCTCCCTCTCCAAAAGATTGAAAAATCATCCATGGCGAAATTATTAAAATAGAAATAGTTAAGAAGTGAAAACTTTAAAATAATATTTTAAGCTCTCTCAGCTAACTGTGTGTCCCCCCCCCCCATCATATCTCCCTCTCCGAAGGATTGACAAATCATCACCTGGCAAAATTATTAAAATAGAAATAGTTAAAAAAAATGGGAACTTTAAAATATTTAAAGCTCTCTCAGCTCACTGTGTCTGGCATAAACACCCCCCCCCCCCCCCCCCCCATCATATCATCTTCTCCGAAGGATGGGAAAGTCACTATGTAACAAAATATTGTAACTAAATTGAGCTTTGCATCCGTGTCTACCCAGACTTAAATAGGTAGCATTAACTTGTACAGAGAAGTAAATGTAGCCAGCGTAACAGCTACCACATTACCCTTCCAGTACCAGTACTACTGCAACCACAACCACCACCACCATCACAACAACAACAAAAACTGTCACTGCGGTCGGTGTAGAAAAGAGGAGTTAGCGCTGCATGCTGTCGTCACGGACTATTTAGTTTGATTTTGCCCCGGACATAGGGAAAAAAATTCATCGCGTAACCAGTGATGGAACCCACAGTGAAAAGTACACTATACTCACAAATAGGGGAGAAAAATACCCCGCACCCGTCATCTCTCCCTCTCCGAGGGAACGATTTTTAACTGACCTTGGCATTCATGTCCACCCAAACTAAACTGGACTGTAAGCCGTCTTAGTTAACAGTTTCAGTCATCGCCGAATAGTTTTTGATCGAGAAGCGTCGCGGGGAGGCTAATTAGGACTTAACTGAAATCGGATGTCTTTGGGCAAAAGGCGCAGATATCGCAGCCTAGCTGTAAACCACAACACAACGTGGCAACCACCCTTTTAGGGAAAAAAGAACAATTATCACCCAGCAGGGAATCGAACACCGGTCACCCGAGTGAAGGATGACATACTTACAACTTTACTACCGACGACTGAAGAGTTTAGGTCAGATATCGCAGCCTAGCTGTAAACCACAACACAACGTGCCAACGGCCCTCTTGAGGTTGAACCAAGATTACGCGTGACATGACCATTGAGCATCATGTCGCAGGCTAGCTGTAAACCCCAAAACCGAAAAAGGCGTAGATATCGCAGCCTAGCCATAAACCACAACACAACGTGCCAGCTGCCCAGTTAAGGGCTTAAAAAAATTTATATCACCTAGCGGGGAATCAAACGCGGGTCACCTGCATGATAGGCAGAATAGTTAACTACTACGCTTCCAAACGCTCAAGAAAATAGTGGAAATGAAATTATATTATAATGCAAAATTCAATAAGAGCTCAGCAGTCAAATATGGCCGATCACATAAAAACAAATCCGGGCCGGCAACGAAACAAATAATGATTTGGCTGTTGTTGGAGCTACGTCGTTCGTGGTTTGTGTGATTTTTTGACCCAAAAAATCACGCTTGGAGTCAAAGGCAAATTTGAAAGCAATCGGTTCAGTAGTTTCCTAGTTTTTAGCTTACATTATCGGAAAATTAACATTTTTATTAACATAGATAGTTGAGTGTTATGTTCATTAATTTATTCTAAGAGAATGTGAGGATAAATATTTACAAAGGTATTGAATTTTTCATTCAGTCTGTGTAATACAATATTTCAGGCTCTCACTTGCTCAAGATGCAACAGCGAGTTTGTAGAAGAAATGGAGAGGTAACTATGATCATTTTTGGTAAATGAAACTAAAAATAATGTTTATTTAGTTCCCTGTTTGCTATGAGTCACTTGACAATGAAGTACCTAAAACATGTAGAGGAGACATTACCAGCATCTGTGACAGTTGAAGTATAAAACATGGTTCCTAGAGTAGAAGAACAAGTACATGTAGATGGTGAGGTTTTGCATTTGTCACTGGGTGTCGTGACGCTCGATAGGAATTGTCGGGAGCAGAATCCAGCTGCTGTCAGTGCCGAGGTATGCGCGCTTATCAGTGACAAGTCCGGTGAGACAGATGTGGTGATCTTTACAGACGGATCTGTTATATGAGGACATAAGAGTGCATGGGCATTTACAGCCCGTCTTTTCAGACAGAACAGTTCAGGAAGCCATCAGTGCCTTCTCCGTGACCACCAGCAGCATGGTGATGGCGGTGACACAAGCTTTCAATTTTACATGAGTATTCCTGCGTGTGTGTACTGATTCTTTGAGCATGATCCGGCAGGTCGAGGCAGGCTGGTTACGCAGACAGTGGTTTGAGTCGTTGCAAAATTCTCCTGTGTGTGCAGTTACTTTCATATTCATCCCAGAGCATGCAAGCGTTGTTGGTAATGAGAGAGCTGATAGACTGGCAGGTGCTGCATTAATTGAAGATGGTCGCCCTATGGATCACGCAGACATTGTCATTGCCCTCAGAAAGATAGGACGCTCTGAAGGATTTTGGAAGCAATATGTCCACTGCTAAGAATTTGCCAATTGGGAGTAAAGATCAGCACAGCCCAGCATGAGAAGCACAATGGACGCACAAGAAGTCTTGTTAATCAACGTAGGACTGGTACTATTAACCGCACGATGCTGTTGAATATGTTGAGAGGGGAATCTGAGCGCCTATGGATGTGTCCAGAGTGCTGTGAAGATAAAATCTAACTCATAACTCACACATAACTCACAACTAGATAAACAGCTTACTGTTTATTACAAATACACCACTAGCTTAATGTCTCAAACATAGCCCAAAGAACGCTCGCTGCATGCTTACGCCCACAACCCAGAAATTGTAACTTGTGAAATCTACTGGGTACTAGTACTGTACTACGATACTAGCAGCACACACATATACTCACAACAGGAAAGGAAGAATAAAATATCACGTGAGACCTGCTCTGGTGTAATTGTTACCTGCTAATGCTTATACATGAAAATTTATCACGCCTCAACACCAGCATTAAAGTTGGGGGGGGGGAGGGGGAGGATGGTTAGCTGACAAGTGGCTAAAAGGTTTTCTGGCTTGCCATAATGAGAGTAAAATTTGTAAAAGATCTGATACATGAAGATGAGCTAGTGACTTTACCATCGTCAAAAGCAAAAAAAAAAATAGACTGTTTTGTTCACCTGCTGAGAGGATCAATGTTATCATTAGCAGCAGAATTTAAAAAGTAAGAAACTGTCATTTAAAAATATTGATGCTACTCGTGTCTTTATTATTCAGCAGGCCAGCTCCGCCGCCCCAGTCATCTGCTGATTCCCGTAGCACAGATCCTGCATTGCAGTTTGCTGAGGTAAGCATTCTTTTAGTATTTACTTACGTATTTTTAAAAATTACTGAAAAAAAAATGTTCAGATTCTTCGCCATAAGACATGTTAGACATGTAATTAGTCGACAGATCACCCTCACTGCGCATTGACCCCTTCAGTTCATAAGTGCTTAGATCCTCTCTTCAGTAAATCTTGCAGCTTGTATTGGATGGAATTTTGGCTATATTTAGACATAGTGCTTTAGGACTGTCGGCGTCAGTGGCTTAGGCGTTGCGAACGCGCTTTGTAATGCTGGGGTGCTGTGTTCGATCCCTGCTGCGTATGGTTTCTCTTGCGATGGTTTCGACCGTCCAGAAAGCAGTGGCAAACTACTGGACGTAAACTTGCCTAGAAAAACCACAACAGCCAGAAAGTGCTTGAGTTGGTTCTGCAACGTCCTGTAAAGGATATGCAACTAATTTAAAATTATACTTTAGTACTAGCTCTGTACTGTAGTTTTTAGACCAGTAGTCTGTTAACGATGCCAATAATTAATGGTGATTTTAACAGATTAAGAACTTATTTGTTTCTTTTCATTCTCCATGCAGTCCAGTAGATTTTCCTTTGCTAGCTTAAAGCTCTTCAAAATAATGTTTGTACATTTCATTTGTTTCAGCTGCTAAACACATCACTCTTTGAACTTATAAGATCGACTGGAGGTCCCCAGTTGCACCGCCACAGATACAACACTCGTTCTTCAGTTAGACATGATGATGCTGACAGTGAGGATGATGAGATGCTGGGTGTGGCACCTAGCGCTGTCTTTCATATCAATTCTGGAGACCCTCAGCAGGCGGGTCAACAAAGCCTTCCATGGGTGAAATCATTTGTCTTATTTAGAAAATTAAAGTAGTGTTCTCCCTGTTGTGAATTTGAAGAAATAAGACACAAACAGTGGTGTCAGGTACATACTACATAGCAGTTGAATATAATAAAGCAAATAAATTACTTTTTCTAACCGACAAATAAATTCAGCTGCATTCAAAAGTTACTGTCTGTTTTACCAGAGCAAACGCAGGTTCCCAACCATGTCTTTTTGTGCAAAAAATCGGGCGGGAAAAGCCATTTATCCTTATTATTTTGATAAAGCGAAGCATCTAATGATTGGTCAGTGATAACAGAATTTGAAATGCACTGTGTTTGCTTACAGTTTGGTCAGGGTAAAACAATGGTTACCTTTAAGTGTAGCTGATTTTGTGTTTCCGTGTGATTTATTTATCTCCTTCATTGTCATCAATTGTTACTCTAGTGTGCATTTGACAAGATACATCGAAATATACCAGGCAGTAAATTGTGCATTCTGTTGTTTGTGTCTTTTTTGTTCGAATCTGGTATCTGGATCGAATCTGGTAATCCTAGTTTCAGCTTCATAGCAAACGGGTCACCCCACACATGCTCCGCTCCTGTGCCAACGAAAAACAAACGCAGCTCACAGTGTCACGCCATGCACTCAGAAGCTGGGCGACGAAACTACATCCTTCCAGTCTACAAATGGAGTTGCAACGGCCACCGTCTGGAAAAATATTGCCACGGCTTTAAAAAAAAAAAAAAAAAAAAAAGGTGGCCGTACCTAGCGTCCATTTTGACCGGAAGAAAGAATTATATGAGGGTTAATAAACGGTCACCCCAGCAGTACCCTCATTTTAGCTGGGGAAGGGACTTAGGACATTACATCCACCAGCAGGCGTCGCCCCTACAACGACCTGCCTGCCCTCGTTAACGACTGTTCACCCAACAGCCATGCAGTTCTTTGGCACGAAGGAGACACCTTGAACTTGGGTTTCGTACTGCCGACTCCCTACTAAGATGTTATTTTATGTTCTGTTATCACAATTAATGTCACTGCACATTGGGCGAATATGTCTTATTGCTTAAATATATATAAATGCATTATTTATGATCTGTTCCTTTTTGTGAATATCGTGTGAATACTGAAATGTCATGCCAGTTATGTTTGGCTGTATGGCAGTGAATCTTGCATGGTGTAGGAACGAATTAAGAAGAGCCTTGAGGCAATGGAGATGTGATTTCTGATTTGAATGTTATGAATTTTTTTGACTCCCTCCTGGGGTGGGGGGGTTTGAATAGAGCCACAACTCCTTAACTCTTTCGGGACCACATTTTTTCTGGGGTTTGGGCAGCATTAATTTCAAGGGGAATTAGTTTACTGCAACACGACAAAGCTAAAATCTTCCTGGAGAGAAAGTATTGGCTGTATCGGGACATATATCAAATTAAAGATAAATGAGTCCCACATTGTACATGGCTTGAGTAGGTTGGAGGTCTATGCTCTGTTTGGAGATAAAAGGTAGGAGATGATGTTGTGCTCAAACTAAATTTAGTCATGTTCTCGACTACACTGGCTACTAATTATGTTTTCTTGTGATGAGGGCTATTCCAAAATCAACCTTAAATTGGCTCATTTAAAAAAAAAACAGTTGCCATAGTGTTATCGGTTATTGCTTGCAGTAGTCTTTTAGCTCACTACGCATCGACCTATAAGCGTATTTGTTCATTGGTTCACAAATCAAGAACGAATAAACATAGACACTGGTTGGAAAGGCAGTAACAATATCTGCATTTATTCATTTGCAATTCATGGACCACTGAACAAATGTGCTTGTAGGTTAATGTGTAGTGAGCTAAAAGACTACTGAATGATGCAAGCAGTGAACGTTGTTGCTATGCCATATGGTTCATTTTTACCACCCAGTCAGAGTTTGATTTTGGAAAAGGCCTCATATCTTGTTGTCTCTGCATTTATTGTCACAGGGTAGGAAAGTTGAAAACAAAAATTCAAGTAGGGTACAGTTGTGTCTTTGGGAATTTTTTTTTAAAGGTTCTAATCTTTTCCATCATGTGACCCTCGTACCAGAGTCTAAAAACCATAAGAGCTTTGTTTAAAAAAAAAAAACTCATTCACCAACCTCAAGCCACAGAGCCTTCTTAGGTAAGTAAAGGCACGCTAATGCGGAAAGATTTTCCTTGTTTCAGAATCATCAATTATGTAATACAACGCCTCGGCAGTGACCTTGGAGGAGGACGCAGTCCATTGTAAGTACCAGATCGTTCATTATTATGGAAATAAACACAAATCTAAGCATACATTGTTATGTAGTTTAACAGAGTATGTGGGGGGAAAATGAGAGAGATCAGATAGCTTTTTTTTTTTTTTTTAAACGTGCAATATTTGTTGGAATTAATGAACGTGAAATAAAATGAATTCAAGAAAGGCGAAGCAGTGAGAAACCGCTGGTATCAACAGATATAAGATAAAGATAGTGATATATCAGGCACATCTTGATGAGAAGGAAAGAGAGAATCACCAGACAGGCGCTGAAATGGGAAACAAATGGGTTGAGAAAATGAGGATCTCCAAAAGAAACCATAAGGTGAACGTAACATCCATGATACGGAAAGTTAAACAGAACGGAAGAGTAAACGCCGAACCCTGTGTGACTTATAAGACACTACTTGATGATGATTATAATATTTCTTCTATATTTTATTGGGAGCTGTGTAGAGGCTAGAAGCTCGCCTCTGGATCCGAATGTCATAGGTTCAGGACCTGATGGAGCCGGACTTTAAACAAAAATGACTTTAGCTCTCAGTTCAACCAAGCCTTAAATAGTTGCTAGGCAAAATCCTGGGAAGTTGTTGACCAAATCACCCACCCAGTGCAGATTGGTCCATAAAATAAGGTTTAGCCCTATATGCCCTATACACTTGAAGACGTGGGCAAGAGTTCAATAATTTAATGATTTTACTTATTACAGCAAATGTAATCATCATCGTGTAGCAGGTCCTTTGCAGAACGTCGCTCTCATCACAGTCTGCCTGCAAGAAACTCAGTCTCTCGCTAGTTCTCACGCCTCATGCACTTTCACACTCAAGGAGTCACTTATATCGTGTGCCCATCTTCATGTCAGTCGGCCCCTGCCCCTCCTTCCTGGTACCATGCCTTCTGCTATAATTTTTTCCAATCCGTCGTAGCGCTTGATATGACCAAAATATTTCAGTTTTCGAGAAAGGATGCTTTTTATTAGCCAATCTTCCTTGATGTTCAGATCTTTTAAGATGTAAATATTTCTCATCTTTGTCCAAGATATTCTGAGAATCTTTCTATATCATTTCAGCTAAAAAGCAAATGTAGTGATCATATATTATATATACAGAGTTAATTCTTTTAGTGTTTTTGTTTTTAGTGTTTTATGTTTTTTTTTTAAAGGAGAATTTTGCATGCAAATCCAGGAGATTATGCTTGGGGGCCAAGCGGACTTGACGCCATAATTTCACAGGTAAAGAGATCACGTTGGTTGTAATTCATTTCTTACTCTTGTCATATCATGTTTTATTTGCCGTACAATCATAAATTGTGTCAGGATTGTCTGAACTAGATTATAACTAAACTGGGTGATGTGTAATATACATAGTAGTTTCGTCGCCCAGCTTCTGAGTTGAGTGCATGGTGTGGACACTGTGAGCTGCGTTTGTTTTTCGTTGGCACAGGAGCGGAGCAACTGTGGGGTGACCCGTTTGCTATGAAGCTGAAACTAGGATTACCAGATTACCAGATACATTGGCATGAAGTCCAGATACATTGGCATGAAGTCCAGATACATTGGCATGAAGTCCAGATACATTGGCATGAAGTCCAGATACATTGGCATGAAGTCCAGATACATTGGCATGAAGTCCAGATACATTGGCATGAAGTCCAGATACATTGGCATGAAGTCCAGATACATCGCCGTCCTTATTGTTTTGCTTTCCCCATGTTGGTTACAGGGCCATATTGTGGGGAAAATAAGAATAGACTCACTGTCTCTCCAGCCAGCATGTCTTAGGAGTTGACTAGTTCAAAGAATTCTTCAAGGTCGTAGGACATCTGCCTGAGAGGCAAGGAACCAAGAGTCTGCATACAAATAAGTCAGATCTGTGAAATGGATGTGCCTGCGACACTCAGGTTCTGGGACAAGACTAAAGTCTGGAGTTTACAGCCAGTGAACTTAGAGATGAAGAAGAAGATTAATTTGTTTATTTCAGATTATGTTGTTGCTGTAATTCTAACTTTTCAATTTCAGCATGCTTGTGCATTGGTAGCTACAACTGAAGTGTCATTTTCTTGCACTTTCAGTTTGTTTATAATAATAATCTTTGTGGATTTGGTTGGTGTTAATGCTGTTGTGGTCATGTTGGTATGTTACTACCACTTCTCCCCATTCTTCATTTTTTTTTTTTTTTTGTTAAAGTGTGCCACAGCTCCTTCTTTATGCCTCTTTTGAAGGAAGTATGCCAAAGCTCCTCCTTCACGCCTCTTTTGAAGGAAGTATGCCAAAGCTTCAGGGTATTTGCAGCTAACTATGCAGCCTCTAATTAATGGTATTGAAAATAGGAGTTGAGAGGCTTCTATTAAGCCATGCTGGGGAATGAAACTGATGACAGCTCCCACTCATTCATTCTTTTTTTCAAGAAAGTATGCCACAACTTCAAGGTCTTCCAGATAATATGCATTGGTACTGAAAAAAGAGTTGAGAGGCTGTGTTTACACACACTACGAATTGAGGTGTAGCGGAAAAACACTCATCAATACATGCAGATATTTTAACCAAAGAGAAAATTATAAAAGCAAGAGAACAGACATACAGAACAGTAATCACACTGATAATGAGCACCTTTGGATCACACAAATGCTTGCACTCATGCATATACACGTGTATTATTTTTGGCAAGTGTTGGGAGTAATAGTGCTATTTCAGTAACCACAAGACACTTCCAGAAAATTTGACTTTTAGTGTAACATAATTATAAAAGCAATGGGCAAGAAAAATAGGAGTATATTTTTATGCTAATCTTTTTTTTTTTTTCTTCTCCTCAACAGCTTTTGAATCACCTAGAAGGAACAGGTGCTCCACCAGCACAGAAGGATAAAATAGATAACTTGCCACGAATAACCATTGAGCAAATCCATATTGGTGAGTTTTGTGGTTGCTATATGTACTTCTTCTGCCTTTTTCCATCTCCCGGAGAAACAGAGGCTTTCAGCCAACTCAGACCAAGTCCTTTGTGGTTGCTATATGAACTTCTTCTGCCTTTTTCCATCTCCCGGAGGAACAGAGGCTGTCAGGCAACTCCGACCAAGTCCTTTGTGGTTGCTATATGAACTTCTTCTGCCTTTTTCCATCTCCCGGAGAAACAGAGGCTTTCAGCCAACTCCGACCAAGTCCTTTGTGGTTGCTATATGAACTTCTTTTGCCTTTTTCCATCTCCCGGAGAAACAGAGGCTTTCAGCCAACTCAGACCAAGTCCTTTGTGGTTGCTATATGAACTTCTTCTGCCTTTTTCCATCTCCCGGAGGAACAGAGGCTGTCAGGCAACTCCGACCAAGTCCTTTGTGGTTGCTATATGTACTTCTTCTGCCTTTTTCCATCTCCCGGAGGAACAGAGGCTGTCAGGCAACTCCGACCAAGTCCTTTGTGGTTGCTATATGAACTTCTTCTGCCTTTTTCCATCTCCCGGAGGAACAGAGGCTGTCAGGCAACTCCGACCAAGTCCTTTGTAGACCTGTGCATGCTTGGTCAGCCTCTAGTGTATTGTGAGACAAGGTAGACAGCCCCCTGCCAGACTTCCTTATTTGTCTCTTATGACATACATGGTAGATTACGTTTTGAGGGTGCAAGGCCTGGAAGGTCAGGCACCTTAAGCCCCCAGACCCAGTAAAAATAAATGGTGAGGTTGGGGGGGGGGGGGATGTTTGATTAAGCCTCCTAGAAAGTTGGTCAGAAGACAGCACCCCACCACCAACTGCCTAAAGGTTCTCTTTTTGAGTATTAATTTATAATGGTGGCCACTGGACCTGTTCCCGTCCCCAGTACTTTTTTTATTATGTTGAAACGCCTAGGGACATCAATAAAATTCTTTGTTTTCCTTTTTGGTTCACATACAAGTGATGAATTTTTGGCTACTTTAATTTTTTTTCTTCATTTTATTGTGTCATTGTCAAAGTAGGAAGATTTTAACCCACTTTCTGTTTCTTTAATTTTAGCTGTTCGTATTGTAGGTTTTACTTTATCAATATGTTTTTGTGTTCACAATTTTTTTTCCAGCTGTGATTCCCAATTAGCTAATACCTAGATATCTCTTATTTTCAAAGTTCTACCATGGATCCCATACCAGTTAACTTTTTCAGTTTCATGGAGTTTAGCATCAGTGGCCCAAGAGGTAGTAAAGAGAGATGTAAGATCGGCGCATCTTACATTTATTGGGCTTCTAGGTAGTAATCTATAAATGTATGGTGCGTTCCTAGGGACTAAAAGAGTTAAAAATCATACTGGTGAACTTATTTTTGTAATGTTCATATATAAGAATTTTTTTTTAAAGGGGGATTGCATCTTAATATTTTTTTTTTAAATTATACTACAACTCAAATTTGGTCCTCTGACCTCTGGGAAACACCGACTTGAAACATTAATTGCAAATTCTGCTTTGATTGTATTTATTACTTGTTTGCTTACTTTCCTGAGTGTAGTATTCATTGTCATACAATAAATGTTTCTAAAAAAAACAAAAGGAGAATGTTTTAGAGCCCCAGGTAGGTGAGTAGTGAACCCTTTTCTACACCTTCAGATAGACTGGGTATAAAGGGCTAGACCTATATTTTATAGACCAGTCAGCATTTGTTGGGTGATGTGGTTAACATCACGCTGGCCGTCTTTACTTCCTAGGACTAATATCTGGTACCCAGTTAAGGCTGAGTCGACCTGGGGGCAGAGGTCATTTCTGAAAAAAGTATTTAAAAAGTTCAGCACTTTTTTAATTCGAACCCACAATCTTTGGATTGGCAGGCAAGCGTTTAGCCCCTACACGGTGGCTCCAAGGTAATCCAAAAACAGAGTGAACAAAATAACATCAGAATTCAGAGACACTTTGCCAAAGTGTCAAGTATCTTTGGTCAAATCTGCCAAACGGTGAGAAAACAAGAACCCTGTTTCGCTCTCAACATCCAAAACTATTTTGACAAATATCATCAGAGGAGCTACTGCAATATCAACTGCAATATTAACTGTATAAGGTCGAAACTAGCAGAAGAGTAAGAGCCAGAACTATGTTTCTTGTTTCAACACTAGAGCAGTAAATAGTGCTTATTTTTATTACAAGACTGTTATCTTGACATCAACCTGGCTGCCACGAAATACGAAGATAAGTGATATTGTGTATTTGTGTAGTATTGTTTGATCAATACATATGCTGAAGAAGGCTCCATAGCCACAACGATCACACTAAAACTCGCTGATATACTTTTCGTTCGGTTTTTTAATCTTTTCCTGTTATTTGTATTAAATTGATTAAGAAGCTTTAAATGTACTCCATTTACAGAAAACACTCTCCAGTGCTCTATATGTATGGATGACTTTGAGCTAGCCATGGAGGCAAGAAAACTACCCTGTGATCATCTGTACCATTCAGAATGTATAGTCAAATGGTTGGAAATGGTATGTTTACTTTACCTTTTGGAGGATGTATGTCTGTGTTATGTTCTTACAGAAGTTATTTGTAATGAGGATATCTACGATTGTGCGTTTTACTTACAAGAGTGTCAAACAAAAACCTTTACTACAGCTAATGAGCATAAAATCATAACAGTAGAAAGGAGTTGTCTTAGAAGAGATGCCAAGTTACAAGAAGTGATAATATCAAAAATAAAGAAATTGTAATTAGAAGAAGACTGTGACCAAAACCAGTCATTTATTAACCCTCTTAGCACGAATGGGCCGATTGTCGGCAGTCTGGCCAAAAACACGAAACGGCAGATCATTAGCCCGATCGTGTTTCACCTTGACACCGTAAGAAATCTCGTATTTTGAAACACTGAAAGTGAGAAAGTGATTATTTTATATTCACTGCTGTATTATCATTACACATGGCGACTTGCTAGTGTTTGGTGTCGAAGTGAAAATTGTTGTTGAATTTTTTAGATAGTGACCTGAACAGCTAAAAGTATGTCTGACTCATATGTTTCTGCCCCTGAACTTGATGTTGATAAAACATTTGAATCAAGTGATAACATTAATTCTAGCGATACTGATGCAGGATCTAGTGTTAGTGATAGTGGGGAATCAGATGGGGACGCTGATCAGACCACAGCCCAACCATGGCTCAGGTTATATCCACCCGAAGATGTTGACACTTCGGCACATCCATTTCTTGAGCTGACTGGTCCAAAACACATGCCACCTAAAGATGTAATTGCTGTTTCATACATTTACCTGTTTGTATCTCGTTGATCTTCTGGACATTACACAGACTGGCCTGGCTGGTCTTGACTTCAAATGTCGTCGTCTAATTCTCCTTTCGCAACATGCAATCTCACGTTGACTTTCTTATGCTCAGTCTCCCGTCCTTTCGCTCCGACAGTTCAACACATACTAACTTGATCAGAATGGAGTCTGATTTTATACCACGGGTTAGTTTCACGAGCCAACACGTGGTGGTCCTTTACTTCCACGTGGCGACCTGTGGTCTCGTCATTGTATTACACGTGATAACTCGTGGTCATCACCTATCTTGAAAACCTCATTTAATCCGAGTATCTGGAATATCTCGGTATTTGGGTTAACCTTGGGCCTATCCCCCAACCTTCCTAATCTGGGTGAAAACATCCCCCAATACACTAGGGAGAGGTTTGATTTACTACTTAAGTTTTTTCACATTGTCAACAATGAAACCTTAGCAGCTCCAAACACAGATGGATATGACCCTTGTGGTAAATTTGTCCCTCTGGTAGAGCATGCTAACAGAGTATTTAGGCATCACTATACCCCAAAACAAGAGCTGTCTGTTGATGAAAGCCTAATAGGAACTAAAGATAGAAGTCAGATTCTACAAAAATGCCAAACAAGCATCATCATAAGTGGGGTGTAAAATTATGAATGTTGTGTGAATCAACAAGTGCCTATGTTCTTGGATTTTTTGTTTACAGAGGTGGAAGAGATCAAGAACATGATAGCTAGGACTGTCTCATAGAGTTGTGAGAAAACTCTTAGCAATTGGCAATTACCTTAGAAAGGGTTACCATGTCTTTGATGATAATTTTTTTTTTTCAAGTGTGGAATTGGCGACTGATTTATTTGCTAAGGGTACCTATCTTACTGGCACAGTTCGACGCAATCGACGACACATCCCTAATGGTATCAAGGGTAAACTTCATCTCAATGAAACAGTCTATTACAGAAGAGGACCCATTATATTACAGCTGCTTACAGGGAAAAAAGAAGCCAAACAAAACCTGTACTTCTGTTGTCAACAAAAGAGAAAGCAGAACAGATAGAAGTCACAGTGAGGGCTCGGAAAAACTAACTAACAGCCAGCCGAGAGATCCAAACCTCGTATTGTCTTACAATACAATAAATATATGGGTTGAGTAGTCCAAAGTGACGTGTTTTATTTCTATTTGGATGAACGCAGAACCCTTAAATATTGGCGTAAAGTTGTTTTTGCTATTTTTGAACGAATGACTGTCAATGCATAAATTTTGTGTCACCAGAATACGTCAAATTCTTGTATTATGACACGCTTTAAATTTACATCAGATGTTGTGAGGGAACTCGCAAAAGAATATTCTGACTCCAAGCATCCTCCTACTTGTTCTGGTAATGTTGGAAACTGTTTTTTGTTGTTGCAAATTTCTGACGATAAAGAGAAGGACTGTTGTGTGTGCAGTAACCGCTCCCAACCAGGTGGAATGAAGCGTAGTAGAAACATGTGTTCCTCTTGTGGAAAAGATATTCACCACTATTTTTTGAAAAAGATAAATGTAAAAAGGGCAAGGATCAATAAAAAGATTTCAAATAAAATATATTTTTGTTTTTAGTTATGTATTTCATGCATTGAAGTTAAAAATTCATAATCTAATTTTTTATTTTTAGATATGCAAATGAGATAGTTTGCATATACATCAATTTATTTTAACAATATTGTGAAAATCATGAACTTCAGTCTATATCTTTCAAATTAATCCATTATTTCATGGGGGTCAGAATAATAGAAATGTGTCAACAACCAAAAAAAAAAAGTAAAACCAAATTTACTGAAAAAATGCTCCATGTTTTTGGCTAGACATCCGAAAAACTTCCGTGCTAAAAGGGTTAAAGAACAGATGATCAGATTACTGGCCACCTGACAAGAATGCCCAACTGCCACAGATATGCTGAAGAAATATAGTGAACACAAGAAAGTTCAAAAAGAAGACCATGCTAAAGATGGCATGACATCATCAAGAACAGCATTAAAGAAATTAAAATCAGCGATGAAATGATAAAAACTTGGATGACAAATATGCCTAGCTGCAGGGACAAGTATATTAATATGCATGACCAAGTAGGCAGTCCTGTTTAAATTCATTGTGAAGATGGCACACATTCGTTTTTGTCCTTTACTCTTTGTAGCTTCAATTAGGAGTGCTTTTGTTAGCAGGAAACGTACACAGTTGTTCAGTAATTAATTTTTGTTTGTTAACTTGAGGTTTATTTTCATATAAAATTGAGGTTTATTTTCATATATATAAACTTGAGGTTTACTTTCATAAAATGTTTTCTTTGTCTATCAAACAAACTGCTCAGCACGGAACATGCCCTGTTTGTAGGAAAGACTTGAATGGGGAAGATACCTCAACGCACGATTCAGACTACACTACTGGCTTCCAGCAACCCACGGGTGAAGGTAACGGTGCTACTTCTTCCTCTTCTACTTCCATGGGACCTTCAACGTCGTCATCCTTTAGGGACCTGTGGAGAAATTAAAGTCGAGTTGCAACTGAAAATTACACATGATGGGCACATTTGTCACCAAAGAAATGATGCCAGATTGTCATTGTATTTTCTGAAGACATTTCTGTGATTGTCTGCATGATGATTGTGGTAGGGTGAAAATGAAATATTCAAAATAGTCCCAACACGTATTTACAAATAACTGTTGTTAAAAGCAATTGTGTGTATAGAATAAAATATTTTATGAGAAATACGGGTTCTGAAGATGAACTCAAGATGTATTTGTACACAGGAGGAATTGTGGGTATTACAGTCGATGTCACCTCCCAATAGGCATCTCCATGTTTGCTCAAATTTCTGATGCAGCAGACATCTCAAGGTAGCTCTTCTGACTGCTCCCCTCTACCGACACAGGAAGAATCCTGCAGGATGTGTCCTTGTTTAGTATACGTTACATTCAGGTAATGCATGTGCTGCTACACTTCCAAGTGTAATCTTCCTTTTGTAGACATGTCTTTGCTGTCATGCAAAATGAGCTTCTCCCTGACAGTGAATAAGCAGCTCAGAACGATGTTATTAATTCCCTTTTGCAAATAATTTAAAAGATACAGTGTATTTTCGGCATTTAGATAATAGCATTTTATTTTTACATGGATTAAAAAAAATAAAAGCAGTCAAGAAGATACAGTGATTATTATTTAAATAACAAACCTTAATAGCAACATATATATTATGGTTTCTTCTGTTCAGCTTTAATTAAGGAACTTGTTTCTATTATTTTCTACATAAGTCATATCCTTTCACTGTTTTATAACTGTGTTATGTTAATCACTTCATGATATACATAAATTATTTTTAAAAAATTAACATGATTGATAGTTTTTAATTTTAGATTTGGCTTGCTACCTTGATCCAAAACGTTATTTTTGTTCTAAAAGTTATTTCTGAACGGGTACCCAGACCTGAAGTAGGGAAACAAAATTATTCAACAATCTCTAAATTAGTGTCATGAAAGTCGACTAATTAGAATGTTTCCAAGTCGAAGTGCCTTTGCCTGAGAGGCAAGGAACTAACAGTCTGTGTATAAAATGAGCCCGGAGATTTAAAGCAGCGTGGCTAGTGAAATTGCCACAGACTGCAAGTTATGATTTTTATTTTTGACACAAACTCGAAAAATCTGCATCCCTTACTGAGGATCAAACCCAAATCTCCCAGCACTCCAACAACTAGGCCAGCTGCTCCTTAAAGTAAGGACTGGGATCAAATGGGTTTTCGTGACCACTGTCTTGGACAGACCGTGTTAATTTTGCACTGTACTTGAACTAAGTTATTTGTGAGAGTCGTTGATTGGTAATCTGCTTGAAAGACAAATAATCAGCAATTATAATGTTCTCATTGTGCTAGTGTGTCAGAAGTTATACAGATAGAATAACTATAATTGTGTGAGTTTAGATAATCAGTTGCTCATGAAAAATGCTTCGTTATTGTCTTGTTCCTTATTTGGGTCTGTTTCCTTTGATCACATCATCACTGAAGGAGTCCTTTTCAGGGCTCTTGGAAGCATGCAGTGATAAGCCATTTTGTATGGCGCACATAACCTAGTCACAGTTATAACCTAAAGCCGTGTGGCATAGACATTTATGTCTCCACAGACCTTGATCCTTGCATCCTGCCGGTGATTTTCAGATGAGAAAGCTGTGAAAGTTGTGGTATGACACATGTGCTTTACTGATCTATACTGTTTGGTTTCCACTAGAATGATAACTGGCTAGACTAGGGATCTCTCTAATGCTGCATGTAGGGAGCATATCTGCAGCATATCATCAGTATTCTTTGGTGCCTGTTCAGTTCGCTGTCTTCTTCTTATTCTTTGCGTTCACTGGTTGTGAACTCTAGCGGAAAGTTCTAGTTGTTTGTTCACTTCTGGTCTTTTTCTAAAACTTGAGTGCTGTGTGCACATCCGTTTTATGGATCTGACTTTTTTTTACTGTTGGTTCCTTGCCTCTCAAGCAGATGCACTCCGACTTTGAAGGAAGCTTTCAGTTAGTTGACTCTTATGACACGATTAGTAGGAAGCAGTGGGTCTATTCTTGATTTTCCCACAATGGAGCAACAGAACCCACACAGAAGTCCAGTCTAAATACAGTGGTCAGTCTGTTGATTTTGTATCCAAAGACTTATTGAGTCTACCAGACTGTATTCTGGATATGAAGTGTTCCATCTCCCTTTGTGGTTTTGGATCATTCCTGTTGATAATATTCTCCAGCTACCATCTTAAAACATCCACTGCAATATCTCTGGGCCTGCCTCTGCCTCAGCTGATTCTGATCATTCCACTTTTTTTTCCAGGGTATCTCATCACATCCTCAAAGAAAACTCTCCCTTTTCTTATAGTTGCTTGTAATTTTCTACTGTTTTTATTTTTAAAATAAAAAAAACCATGAGTTTGTAAACCCTTTGGCTTGGATTTTGCAACCCTTTGGCCTTGATTCTATGATAGATATTATAAATCTGAAAAATATGTGGCTTTTCAGCCTCCTCACCCCAAGGTTTTGCGAGCACTAGTCTAAGAAAATTGTTATTTACTCTGTCGGATTTTGGACAAGATCTTGTCACATAGAACAGTGACGCAGTTAGTTTAACCAGCCTAGCTGGCGCGCCTGGCTAATTTTCTACTTTAAAAATTAGCTGACGACTCTTCCGGAGGGGTTTATTATTTACTTTGTCCAAGGTTTTGCCAGCACTGCTTTTCTAAGAAAATTGTTATTTACTCTGTCCAAGGTTAAATAAAGTGTTATTTAGTCTAATAAAAATTTTATTTACTCTGTCCAAGGTTTTGCCATGCACTAAGGTCTAAGAAAAATTGATATTAACTCTGTCCAAGGTTTTTGCACAGCATTTACTAGCCTTTTGCCAGCACTAGTCTAAGAAAATTGTTATTTACTCTGTCTAAGGTTTTGCCAGCGCTAGTCTAAGCTTTAAAGATTGTTATTTAGTGCGACAAAGTTTTTTACTCTGTCCAAGGTTTTGCCAGCACTAGTCTAAGAAAATTGTTATTTACTCTGTCCAAGGTTTTGCCAGTGCTAGTCTAAGAAAATTGTTATTTACTCTGTCCAAGGTTTTGCCAGCGCTAGTCTAAGAAAATTGTTATTTACTCTGTCCAAGGTTTTGCCAGCACTAGTCTAAGAAAATTGTTATTTACTCTGTCTAAGGTTTTGCCAGCGCTAGTCTAAGGAAATTGTTATTTACTCTGTCCAAGGTTTTGCCAGCACTAGTCTAAGAAAATTGTTATTTACTCTGTCCAAGGTTTTGGACAAAATCTGGTCTCATAGAACAGTGACTGCTGTTAGTTAAGATGTTAACCTTGTTGCCCTGGCAATGCTTTTTAAAAAAAGGGGAGGGAGGGGTTTGCGTGACCTTTTGGGAATTTCCACATCTGTTTTAAGAACCAACAATTTTACACAGGTCACTAATAAATAAATGTATTTATCTACATAAAAAAAGTCTTGATGACTCTATCACTGAGGCTTACGGGAAAATTTCACATAACTTGGCCTAATTTTTAAAAAAAACTATTCGGAAAACATCCCTGAATGCTAGTTTTAGCTAATATTTTCAACCTGACCTCCTAAACATTTGCACAGGCACAAACTGACCCAATAGTGTGAAACTGTGTCTCGCAAACTCATCACCATAGACAAGTAGAAAAAAGTGACATTTATCGGGGAATTGGGACTCACCCAGGTTTTGCAGCTTTTTGGGGTGACCTTCACATTTTTGATGCCATGACGTATGAAGTGATGTCAGTTCTCTATGTGGTCATTAGGCAACATCGCTTAAGATTCCAGTGCTTGTTTTAGTTCTTCTGTTTGCTAGATAGCTTAATAAGGGTTGTACGTGCCTAGAAAGTAATTTGTTTCCGATCATCAATTTACAAAAATCTTTTTTTCCCATGCTTATATACAGATGTCAGCACTTTTTTTTCTGGAAGAAACTATAGGGATTGAAAATGTACAGATGTAATGATAACAGCTGGGTAGTACTAATGAAAGGCTTGTGAAGTAGAGATAGACACTGAGCAGCAACTGAGAGAAATATATGTATTGATACAAAAGTGGACATAGACCAGTATGTTTGCTGGTAAAATATATTTTGTTAAAGTTAAAACATTTGGCAGTAAAACCAAAGTTATTAAAAAATGGCTCTTGTAAAAATGTATAAAAATGTATGGTTGTGCATGAACGGCTAAAGCTCTATTAAATATGCTCCTAGGTCTTTCCATGTTTCATTTGGGGAGCACCCCTGTCTGGGTTCCGGGGCCCCATTGTGGGGGAAAACAAGAATAGACCCACTGCCTCCCCAAAAGAGTCGTAAGAGTCGACTAATTGGGGAGCTTCCTTTGAAGTTGGAGTGCATCTGCTGGAGAGACAAGGAACCAACAGTCTGTATTCAAGAGAATGAGATCTGTAAAACTGATGCACACGCAACGCTCAGGTTCTGGAGCCGGGCTGCAGTTCAGTAGTGGACGAGCAACCAGAACTTTCCACCAGAGTGTACAGCTGGTGAATGCGAAGAAGAAGAAGAATTTGGGGAGCACATTATTTAAGATTGCTTTGGGCCCACCCTAAACATTCTTCAAACTTTTGAACTCATTCATTTGACAAAAAACAGTTAAATTATATTGAACTCTTTATTCGCATACATGTGTTTCTTTGCCCCTCCTTTTCACTTGTTGTTTGAGTTATAAAAGTGATTGAATCTGAAAGGAGTTTCAACTCTTGTTCAAGTCCTGTGAAATGATGCTGAGGTCACCAAAACTCTGAAAAGGACTTGCATCTTTGGGAGTGAGACTCATGTAGATTTTCTCTGGACCCAGCCTCAGAGTACTAATTTCCATGGGAATCTTTGTAGAGTATTTCTTCCCATGCAGAGTTGAACCCAAGACTTTTGGGCTGGCAGACAAGTGTCTAGTCACTACACTACCGAGGCTCCCATATTAGAATGAACAAGGTCATAACACAGTACATTCAGGC